CCTTAACTCCACGAGTGCTCTTCCGGGGCTCATTCCCATGCTGCAGTGCGGCACGGACGCTGGCCTGGGCAAACTTCTCTTGCACTGTACTCCTGTAGCACCCTGCATTTTCCTTTATCAGAGCCATCAGCTTGTACTTGCTTATTTCACACCTACATTCTTTACTTTAGTGTTAAGGGCGGGGACACTGAGTACTTTTGTTCATTGTATAGTCCCTTGTGCCAGGCATGGTACTGCCAGCCTAGTGGGCATTCCTCATTCATGCACAACTACACTGCGATGTTTCATTTGAAATGTACGACTGAAAAATAATTTGATTCCTTGATATCCAGAGAGCAAACACAGCCTCACCTGGATGTGTATTAGCCATGCAGGTTCCTGGCTTTACCCCAGACCTCCTGGATCAGAGTCCACATTTCAATAAGATTCCCAGGGACTCACACGAGCATTAAAGTCTGAGAAGCACTGTTTTATGTTCCGTGTCTGAAGTGAAAACTATGTCACGACTATGGATTTAAATTTGGGAAAGTGTCCTTTTAAGGAATAATAAACAAATAACGGTTAATACAAATACTGAGGTCTATTATGTACCAGGCACTGTGCTAAGACCTTTATTTGGAATATGCGTCTCAGTCAGTGGTCCTGTAGGTGAAGAGCCATCATTAGTACCCTGTGCATAAAATAAAAGGGAGATTATAAAGGTTAAAAAAAACCTCAGTGGAGCCAAGACAGTGATTGAATTTAGGGTGCAGGAACAAACTCTTAATACTTCAAGCTGATTCTGGGGCAGCGTTTCCTTGGATCTGTGCATCTATGATTCTAACATGTGGATGCTAGCCAGTTCACAGATGAGGCAAGGGCTATAATCTCTTGAATAAAGTGGAGGCAGCCTGCTGAAGCGTGATTCTCAGTTGTGTGTACATAACACAACAGACTGGATGGTCACTACTTGGTTTATATTGAATCTGGGTTATCATTTTAGGCCTTGGCTTCCTGATCCATTGAAGGTTTGGGATTATCTAATAACTCTGTATTTTATTTGTTGTTATTTGAGAAGGCTCTTCCTGGTTCTGCAATGTTATTGCTAACAGTGCCCAGGCATTTTACAATGAAGAAGCTGAAACTGTGGGTTTCAGAGTTAGAAGGTTCCTGCTCAGATTCTTACTCTGCGACTAACCAGCTCTTTCATGTTGAGCAAGTTACTTGCGAACTTTCTCTTCCTGGTTTTCCAGGTGCATTTTAACATTTCTGAAATCTGGATGTATCCTACCTTTGGTGACATCTCAAAATTTGGTTGATGGCGTTATCTTTTTCTTAGTCATACACTAATGTACATCTTATGATTGATGGTCTTTAAGAGTCAATGAAATATAGCAGTAAAACACCCATCTCAATGGATTTTTGTGAGAATTAAATGAGATATGCATATTACTAGAATAGTTGTTATCTGGAGCATCACATCTTTTTTCTGGTTTTATACTTGTTGGTTCATGGGACATTTTTAACACATCCTCTCTTCCTTCAACTCTTTCTTTTTTTTTCTTTTTTATTTTTTTCCGGTACCAGGAATCAAACTCACAGCCTTGCGCTTGCCAGGCAAATGCTGTGCCGCTGAGCTAAATCCCCAGCCCCTCCTTCAACTCTTTCTTAATGACAGTCTTTGAAAGATGTGCACCCCCTTGTAAAGTATGAATGAGGTACTAGTCCACAGAATAATTTGGGTTTGGAGACTCTGAATTATGAATCACTAAAACAGAAAAGGGTGAAAAGAGAATGCCTTAGCTCTTCAAGTACAAGGTGTGAAGCTGTAGACAGTCTTCACCTTAGAATGGCCTGGATCCTGTAGAGCTGGGACACTCCCTCACTCGGCCCTTGGGGAAGGCGGTAGGGTGGTGGGGCCTTTGCATTGTGTGCTGGTGAGTATCGTGAGCAATTGACTGTTTCTCTCAATAGGCGTAGACCTGTGAGAAACTTGACTGAAGGCAGGGGATGATACAGAACCTCTATACCACAAAATCTGCCTGGAGGTCTTTGTATGGATTTGACCTGCTCTAGAAGGTTTTTGTCAGCTGGAGAGGGGATAAGTCTTAAGCTCTTTGATGGTCTCAGGAAACCTCAACTACCCTCAAAAAGACTTCACAATGTAAAGATTTCTGCAGTGATTTAGCCCCGGAAGGAATCATGCTGTTATTCTGTGGTCTTCCTATGATAACAGCTGTAGGCACATTTGACCTTACGCATGGAATGAATGCGTACTGTCCAAGTCTCCACCATATCAGCTGGGAAATCTACATGGTAGGAAGAGACAAAAAGCATGGCTTTTTAGTTTAGTCAGAACTCAGATCAAAGAGTTACTTATCCTCCCCGATGTTCGGCTTCATCGTCTGTGAATGGAAGAGTAACAAAGCCTACTTCATGGGTCTAAGTGAAGATTCGGGCAGATTCTCCATGTAAAGTTCTCTGCACAGTGCCCAGGCCCAGGGCTGGCTGGCTATCGGGCTCTCATCTGTCATCTATCTATTTCTATCCCTATCATCTCTCTCTCTCTCTCTCTCTCTCTCTCTCTCTCTCTCTCTCTCTCTCTGTATAAATCATCTGTCCAATTTTTAAAATCCTTGGCATATTTAAAGGAAAAAGTTGTTGTATTTCAAATTCCAGTGGGATCGTTATGATGCTCAGAAAATTATGCAAGTATTTAGCCAAGAACCGAGGCAAAACAGCAATAGTAGTGTAGGCTTTCTCAGAGCTTGCTTGGTTCACAATGTGCGGTGGTTTAAGTGGAAATGTATTTAGAATAATATAATTCATTCGCAGGAGTCACAGCTCTTCTTACATGGACTAGCAGTCTTTTGTGTCCCTTTTTCCTGAGATAGTGTAATTAAACTCAACATTTCATTCCTAATCATGCAACCAGACAAGAAGCAAAGCCATCCTGGAGCCCTGTAGACCCAAAAGCAGAGCAGACCAAAGAATTCAGGAGCCGTCTGCATTCCAGTCCTTGGCATTCGGCCCCACCCCAGTGTGCGCGTGTGACCCTGACCTGCCCTGCCACCTCCCCACAGTTGCCTGTGCCTCCCCACCCACACGTTCATGCTCTGTTCACTGCAGAAATTGAAAAGGGAGAAGCAGGATGAGGAGGAAACGTGAAGATCAGCAAGAGTTGTGACTGCGAGCATGACTGCGGCCTGATATGTTTGGAAGAAACCTTGACTATACCAAGCTTCAAACCCATCTCTGCTCTGAACTCACATTTTAAACCCAGCTTTACTTGATTCCTTTTCTTCAGTCTTTGCTTTCTGTTTCTGCTCGAGTGATTTTTCTGGAGTGTAAATCCTGCTGAGGAGCTGTCAGTGCTTCTCTGTCAGCTTCGGAGGTGAGGAGGCCTCTTTCTCCTGAACATTCCACATGCAGGTGAAAGTTGGCAAAGAGTCCAGCTGCAGCTCCTCCGGCCAGAATGCTGTCTCATTGTGGCATATACAGGCCTGTGAGGTCTGGCCCCTGCCTGCCTTGCCATTACCAGCCCCCACCTCTGCCAGCATCACACCATTTGACAACCACACTGAAGTACATTGCAGTTCAGCGGGGACTCCGCCCGGGATGAGATTCTGGCTCCACCACTGTGCTGTCAGGATTGTTTTGTTAGGCTATTTGTGGCTGAATGCTCATCCGTACAATGGGAATAACAACAGTCTGTCTCTCTCATAGGGGTTTCAAGGAAAATACGACTTAGTAGATGTGAAAAGCACATGGGATTGTGCCTGGTCTATGACGCGCATTAAGTAAGCGTTGGTTGTTTCTATGAACTGTTTGATCGCGTATTTGCACAGTTTACACTTTTTATGTGGAATGCCTCTCCGGTTTCCAATCTCAGCTCCCCGTAACAGTATCTGTCTCTCTCAAGATACAATTCAAGCCTTACCACCTAGTGAAGGTGTCTGTGGCTTTATGAAGACACCCCATCCCTCTTATGCACAGCTCGACCGATAGGTGTTGCAGTGCAGTGAGTCTGTAATGTGCTTTTGCGCAGAAGCTCTGTGAGGCTAACAGTGACTGCCCTCTTGGTTGTACAGTCCCTGGCTTTTGGCATGGTACCTGCTGTGAGGTAGGCTCCCATTAGACATTTTTTGGATGAATGAATGAATAAGTGAGTGAACGGATGAATGAAGAATACCTTTCTGTTAGGGAGAGTGAGGCTCACTTGTCTCCGACACATGTCTGTGACCTAATATTTATCAGTAACCTAGTGCTTAGCACATACTCAACAATGCTTTCTGAACTCTTCTGAAATACATTCAACTGCCACTTTGACTAAATGATAATTTTGGGGAATCCTTTAAGTGTCAAAAACAACGACCTACACTGTACATTTATGAATGTTTCGAGTCAGAGTTCTCCTCAAAACATGCTCAGAAGTTTTGGGAACAAATGAGAAGAGAATGTCCAAAGCCAGAGAGTTTTCTAAGAACTTTCTTCTTGTAAAACTTCCAGCCACAAGCTCTGCTCCGTCACCCGCCTGTGCCTCCTGCCTGACCGTGCGGCACATACAAGAACAACACAGACACGACTTCTCCCTGTCTTGGCCAGTAAACATTCACCAAAGAACACAAACTTCTCCACAGGGCAGAAAACAGAAGAAAGACATGGAGAACAAACAGGAAGATTCGTTTGGGTCAGTACCTTTGTTTAAAAAAATGCACAAGAGGCCAAATCATTGGATCCTGAAACCAAAGATGAAATGAAGCTCTGCAGTAAACCAGGTTCTGTTCCTTCACAGCTTATGCCTTTATGGAAATTCTGCTCTATAAAGATCAACACTGAAATGGGCATGAGATGTATTTAGACAGCACAAATTAACTCCTTAAGGATTATTGCAACTCCACATTACTTGTCTGGGAGTTCATATCTTAAGGAGCTACTAAAAAGAAAAACAAAAACAAAAATAAAAACTGAATATAACTCCACAGTCCTGATAATTGATAATGCATATACAATTGGTTCACCTGCATCCTTTTGATTCTCTATTTGAAAGAGAGAGCAGAACAAGGAAAGAGGAGAGAGAGAGAAACAAGAACACATATGCAAGATTAATGAGCAAGTGGACCAAAATGCCCCCCAGGTATGTGTGATACATGATATCGGAAAGAAAAGGTTGCCCTGTGTTCCCACCACCCCGAAGTGTGGGGGCCAGCAAAAAAAGGCTCCTTCATGGAGGGGAAAACGCTGCACAAATAGAAAATTAGTAAAATTAAGTTCAATGTGAAATCAAGCTATGACACGTACAGACTCTCCCAGTGACAAGTCGTATGTCCTAGCCAGAGCTTAGAGGACAGGGACAAGTCAAAATCTCCAGAGAGAACAAGGAAAGCTTCTCAGTTCGAGAGAGAACAGGCAAGAGGCATATCAGTTCTGATTTTTATAGTGAATGGACCACCTCATGTGGTCTCATACCCACATTCATTGGATATCTCAATCACGGAAAAAGGCATGACGTTGCCCCAAATGTCTTTTATCTGACACCTAACACGTTGCTCCCAGCCTAGCTGCTATCTTTGGATTGTGTACCAGTGACAAGCACTTTACAAATCAGGGTTACACACAAGCAAAGTAAAAATGCATTCAGGTCACAGACAGAGAATAACTGAAAAACAGACAAGTCTGAGTTTATCACAAACAAATGGCTTAGTTGTCTAACCTGTTTTAGGCTGATAAAAAGTGACTGGACTTCTCACACTGGGTTTCACAGACAGAACCAACAGATAAGCCAATGCTAAAAAACTTGAAGCAAGGAGAGTGAGTTGGTTTGGATCTGGATTGTCTTGAAATAATGAAAACAGAAAGAGTGAAGACAGCATGGTGAGGAGGTGGTAGGTACTCACGAATGGTTAAATCCATCACTTGGGAGGCCAAGCAGAAGACAGGATGCTCATACATTTCTCTCTTTTTCCCTATAAAAGAGGATTTGGGCATGCAAGAGGCTTAGGTCAGAGGTAAAGAGGTTAAAGGTCATAGGTTAGAGGAAAACGTTACATTAGCTCAAAGGAAAATAGCCACAGAGTATTTTGGGATAAACACAGGATAAAAGAAAAAGGAGTTTCAAAATTTGAGATCTACTGGATTAACCATTCAGCATGCCGTGAGTCACGAGAGAGATTGTGACCATGATTTTACACGTCTCTTTAGAGTTATTGGCAAGAATACAATGACCGAAAACATCATGAGTAAAGGGAAACAGAATTTCATTGATTTAAGGCTCCAAGATACTAAGGATTTCAGACTTTAGTATCTAAGGCTCTTGAGGTATTTCTTCATAAACATAGTCTCCAGCAATATTACTACAACTTCTTTCCAAAATTCTCAGATAACTGAACTGTTAATGCTCACAGAGGGTCTCAACAGTAAAAATAGAAGATTTCTTTTCTGAGGGCAGGCTCAGAGCCTTATAAAAGAAAGCTGTCTGGTAGTAATATCTTTAAAGCTGCAATGTCTCAGCCCATGTTGGACTATGTTCATGAAAGAAAACCTGATACATGCAGCCAGAGGATGTTGGGTTGTCTGAATTAACAATCCCAGCATGCTTTGAAATTGGTGTCTCAGCCACTTTTGCAGAGGGCGTGGCAAAAAGTGGCTGAGCCAATCACGGACAAGGAAGGAGAGAAGCAGAAGAGAGCAGGTAGTGTGGAATGAGGTACTTCTCTGAAAAGAGAGTTGGAAAAAAAAGGAATTGGTTTCTTCAAAGAATCCCCAGACCTAAAAGTCACAGTGCAAAAGATAGTTAACACAACCGAGAAGAATTGAGGCACAAAAGGAAATTACAGACCAGCTGATCTACTTTGGAAATGAATGCATTTTTACTTACAGATCTTAAAGTTTGGTTTTGAATTTATTTATCTGAAAGAAGAGAGCAGATCTTACCAAAGACTAGCAATAGCTAGACCAAGATGTCGGAGGCAGCAGCCATGGCCACCAAACATTTCTTGATTCCACCCCATCCTGGCCTTGCCTAGAATCGGTAGGTACCTGGTGGATTTTACCAAATCCAACCAGTCGTTATGTGCCGGGCTGGTAGGTGCTGGAGCAATTACTTGTGAATGTAGCCCTTTAACGATCTTCTTGTTCCTCTATTTCTGTCACTCATTACCAAGTCAAGAGTTGATAAACATCCTTTTAGTGCCCAATTCTTAAGTGTTTCTCCCTGGATGCATAACAACGAATTCATTACCACTGGTACACAATTTGCATCATCAGACAGACAAAATTGAGAGTGAGGACAGATAATGTACAAAGCGCTGCAAATTTGATGTGATCTTAACCTAATTCTCTAAGGAAACAAGGACTTTGGCAAGGTCAGTGACAGGGCTGGGTGGTCAGTGAGTTTTGCTTCCCCAGGTGCGTCTTAAGGTAGACAAAGCCTGTTTGCTGGCTTTAGTGAGGCGTCCTGTGTTTCACATGTGAGAGAACATCAGATCCCAGAATGCGGACACATTGAGTTTTGCACATAGAACTTCCACATTTATACACTTACACCACTGGTCAAGGTGGGTGTGGTTTTCAAATCACCCTATGGCAGCCAACAGGGTAACAATGAAAAGTGATTAATACTTTTGCGAATGAATAGGTCCCAAAGAACAATCCCTTCTCAAGTCGAGTTTCTCAAAGGGTCTTTGGATGATGACAAGGTCATCAGCAGCTGCTTCCCCCAAAACTTGAGAGGGTAGTGGTAACAAGCACACTAGATCTGAGTAATAGGAATGAGTGAGACACAAAGCTGACCCGGAGCCATCTGGGATAGCTCTACCCTAGCTTGCCACCAAGTTTGGAATGTTTCCAAAGACAAGATACTTCCAGGGGGCCAGAGAGAGTTTAGCAGAATTGTAAGGCTGCACTGAATAATTCTTGTTTTACTTCTAATGTTATCAGCAGGGACAGCAAACTGCTTCCTTTACTCTGTTGAAAGAAGGCAGCAATCTCACCACACTTGTTCACAGGTAAACATTAGCTGCAGAGCACATATTTAGGGCCAGTGCAAGCTCACAGAAGAACCTAGTAACCTCATAACATCCTCTATTCACTGTTCTCCTCCAAAAACTGTCTCCTGAGACCCCAAGCTTCAGTTCATTTGGCTATAGTAAAGGAGCTTCCACATTTCAAGTTCTTTCAGGTTCAGCCCATCAGATTGAGATGGACCGCTATGTTCTGGTACCCACCAGAAAAGAAAGAGACTTCCCGAGGGAGACACCCCAAAACTGAAATTCAAAACTGGGGGCAAAGGGGAGGCTTACCTTCGATTTTGGCATACTCAGAGAGACGAGAATAGTTGACTAGAGCAGCTTGCTCTAAACATTTACGGATGACTGTTTTTACCTCCTCTTGTGGTACTGGGGTAACAATATCCTTCATCAAAACCTATAGGCAGAAAGAAAAGAGACCCTTAAGAAGTCCCAAAGCAGTGCGTGTGTGTGTGTGTGTGTGTGTGTGTGTGTGTGTGTGAATCCAATATGCTCCTCAAAGACTTCAAATATAAAGTTAGCTGTGACTGCTTCCTTGTGAATTAATTCTGATTGAAAACTGTGGTTAAAGAGAAAACACTAGACTGGCAATGCACAGGATGGCAAAGCCTGGCCAGGAATCAAACACAGGCCAGAAGTAGCTCTTCAACACATCTTAACTATTTGGGAATTGGGAGCTGGAATTCGTGGAAGTTTGGCAATTTCCTCTCTTTCATCCTGATGTTTGATGAACGGTAAACAGACTGAAAATTACAAGCTAGGTCAGACACCCAGTTTCTCGGGAAAATTACGTGCATGTCTCAGTATGTGTCTTTTACTTTTATTCTTACCCTTTCCAAGAGAGACAGAGTAGCTTTTAATGCACCTTCAGGTCGACCAAATGGAAAGCAATACCTAAAAAAAGACATAGAATTCTTCAGGTTGCCCAAATTTATTACATTTCAGCAGGAAATATGCTACAGTTTGATTCCTATAGCAACTCTCTCTGAGGAACAGAAAATGCTTTTTATTTTGTCACACCGTGTTATGTTAATCTGAATTCACACCATATATGTGTGCATATAATGTATATATGTGTATGTGTGAATAATGACTAAAGAGGGACTCTGAAAGTGTCTGCAGCAGAAAAGAATATTTCAAGTGATGACATAGGGCTCTGTTTGGATCTTCATGGTGCATGAGAATCATTAGTTAGCTCAAATGTGACCCCACAGGTGATAGGAACTAGCAGTAGAAACATTATTCCTGCCTCCCTGGTACCGGGAATTGAACTCACAACCTTATGCTTGCTGGGCAGGCACTGTGCCACTGAGCTAAATCCCCAGCCCAAAATATTATTTGAAACAGGAGGATTCAAGCACTCTTCTTTTGGTGTTCAAAGGATTAATCCATGAAGTGAAAAGCAAAGGTGGTCCATTCCTGATTCCGTTCACTGTCCCTCTTGGATTATGATTTTTCATTGTTACTGGACCTTTTATTATTGGTTATGCATTTTGCATGCAGTGTATGATCAACATAGGACACTTCATCAAAATTTTGCTCCATCAAAAAGAGAATTTTGATGGCACAGGTACTGTGGCAGGTACCACTACGAGTTCCATCACTGTTTCAGGCTGTCACAAGCTCTTCAGATCACTGTCTTCAAGGTACATAGGACAGCTTGGACTACCTGGACCCTCCAGGTGAACTTGAGGGGGTTCCTTAATCTTTGCCCACCCTATTTTACCTTGCTTAGATGGAGAATGTAACAACTATCTTAGGAAGTTGTTCGGAGAGGAAAACATGAATTAATAATTTTCCAGCCTTAGGTCCTAGCACAGCAAGAAGTGCTTAGTAAGTAGAAACTACTGTAGATATTACTGGTATTTTTGAGTTGTTATTTCAAGACCTCTGCCCAGAGCCAGCAGCACAGCATGGGAAGCAGTCCATTTGCTCCAAAGGAGAAGTGCTTTGTGGGGTAAGGGTCAAGCGCAAGATCTGCCAGCTGTCTCCGGTGTGTGGGGGAAGTGACTTTCAGTGTGGCCCCACACAGGTCCTTGATGAAGCTTCAGATTTAACTTTTTACGGTAGCTCGATGACCGGAGCCAACTCACACAAAGAAGACTTTGTTTTTTGAGTGGAAATAAAATGAACTTCAGCATTCAAAGTCAGCTAACTGTTGTGGAGCAAGGTCTGATGGCCTTGCTTGTTCTTGACTCATTTATTCCTGATAATCCAATGCATCTGAGATAGATTTACCACTTGGGAAAATTGAGCTTTTTCATTGGGCCTCCCCAGTCTCACCCACCTAAGAAGCTCTTGAACCCTAGATCCTTACCTAAAATGTGTAATCTGATTTTCCAACAGAACTCGGAGTCTTTCTTTGATTTCTTCAAAACGTTCCTTCTCTTCAACAGTCACGGTCCCGATTCCATCAGGCCTGTGGAAAGAAGATACGTTATGAAGAGATGCTACCACCATCCAATCAGATCTCTAGCAGGAGGAAACTGTCCATTTTGGAAACAACCAATACAGTGATCCACGTAAGGACAAGGGCAGCCCTGCTGTTCAGGGTAGTCTTCCAGAGTGCCTGGGACGTCTTGGCACTGTCATTCTGGGTACACGTGCGGAGTGGCAGCTCCTTTCTTGCAGAACGGAGACCTGTACAGAGTGGCGGTGTGCTGGGGAAGCCCAGCTCCTTGACTTGTTCCACGTGGCTCATAGCTTCCTAAAGAATTTGAACTAGCTGCCAAAAGTTTTAAAATTAGGAAATTTTATGGGACAATTCTGATTTCTTGTTTCTCTTGGAAATTCAGAACATCTAGCATTAATGGGCAGCCACCAATGTCTGCTGTCTTGGCTGGGGTGGGCACTCACCTGTTCTACATCTCTAATTTGCATCCTGTCTCTCTTCCGGGTATTTAGGTTTGGGACCCCTAAACTATGCACAAAAATTCCTATGAAAGCCAGGTATCTTATATGTGTCTATCTCACCCAGTGTTAAATGTTCACAAATGGCTAAATTTTAGCTCATCATAAATGTTTGGATTAATTTAAGCGCTTGAGTATTAACTGAAGAGCAAACCACATGTCTTCCGATCTTAGCAAACTATTACTCATTGTAATAAAAAGAAAGATTTTGGAATGAATAAGTGATTTCAGTTTAATCATAGTATTCTCATGGTTCTATATCCCCACTGGGTGCATACACATTTTCTCTATTTGTTAGAGCCCCTTCAAGTCGAAAATATAAAGAGAGGTTGCATATTTATAGCCCTAATTTATCTGTGCCAAATTAGATGGAGGATACTTTGACCCATTCGAAGCCTTCCGTTTCCTGAGCTCTTGTAGTGACTTGTTTTGACTACTGGCTGAGCCAGTTTGCAGATTGGTGTGTCACTATGAAACTTCTATTGGAACATTGCTCGGTTTGCAAATGCGAGTCATCTTGAGACCAAACAAATGGTCGTATTTATAGGCCTTCTCAAGATCCAGCAGGAGCTGGGAAAATCCTTTATACGTACTACACCAGCCTGACTGCACAAAAGATTTGGCAATGAAGAGAAAAATTCCTTTCAGGGGTTAATTGGTCAGCTTCTCGTATTTTTAAATAATAAATATGCCCTATCTGAACAAGGAGAAAAATGCCCATTCCCCCAGATCATAAAAAAAAAAACCCTTAAACATTAAAATCTTATCCAGTCTATTTCTTCGCAATCGTCCAAACTCATAGCAAGAAAGTAAAATGGTAAATAAAAAGTAGAATGTGGAATACTGGAACATACCCTTATTTTCACATTTTCTGGAAAAAAACCTCAAATGTTCAGTTACAAAGTTCATCTTAAAGAATTTTTGTTTTACATGAATCATTGATGAACCTATAGTTAAATCCCAGGATGAATTCATCGACCTCTCCCAAAATCTATGTCTAATTCTCTTTGGCAAATTCTTGTTTCTGTGTAAGTTAGAATTTTCTGTAGTCTGGCTTTTAAATGTTGTCTATGGAAAATGCAGCTTTCTGGTGCACCGAACACCCGTACGAGTGGTGTGTGGACGCACACACCGGCCCAAAGCAAAGGGAGCCGTGCAAACCACTTGTCTTCTTAGTCAGGAATAAGCCCCGAGACAAATGCTAATAGATATAATCAAAAGCATAGGCATTTGATTTGGAGAGCCTACAGATATCTGAGGCCAATATTAGGAGGTAAACCTCTCTGAATCATAGCATTCCTTCACCACTCAATGAGCCTTTTAAGATGGGTAGCTTTTATATTTGCCTTTGAGATGATAAAAACTGAACATTTATGTGACCCTCCTTCTCAGCTAATCCTCATTACCCACAGTACTATTACACACGTAAAATTTGATTGTGTTATCTGCCTGCTATTGTGATGATTCACATCTGTGATTATGAAAGGTATCAGCTTCCCCACTCCTCTCTGGGGACTACTTTCTGAAACGGATGTAAACAACTAAAAATGTACTTAATTTGTTTCTTGATCTTCTTTGTCAGTGTGAATAGTTTTATTTTAACATAAATAAAACAACCTCAACTCATTAAGTCTGTAAGGCACATAGTACAGAGTTCAGTGGCAAAAACAGGTGATAAAACAAACCATGATTTTGACATCAAATGCAAGTTTGTTTACAATTGTGAGAATTGCTCTGAAATGGAACTGGAAACGGGATGCTCTTTCACAAAATGAAGAAGATGCTCCCCAGGAATGTAATTTGTCAAAGACCACAGTTTGTAACCATACGTTAGAAAGTGCAAGTTTCCTGTGTTTTGTTTGATTTTGCATAATTATTTCTAAAAATTCAGCCAAACATCAATCTCTTTTCCATTGAGCTCTATAATTTATCAATGTTATTTGTACAGGTTTAGATAGATCTGTACACAGCTACAATATGAAAAAAAAAAAACCTGATTAAGTCTTTTAGAGCACTTTTTTTTTTTGTTTGTTTTGTTTTCTGGATGTGTCCTTTTTTTTGTTTGTTTTTTAAACAGAGTTTCACTAGGCAGTTCAGGCTGAGCTTGAACTCAACGTATAGCCCAGGCTGGCCTCAAACTCAGAATGATCCTCTTGCCTCAACCTCCCACGTGCTGGGATTGCAGGGGTACACAACCATGCCCGGCCTGGAGCACAGTTTCTTACAGAAGCAATAAATATTTTTCTAGAGCAGCGGTTCCCAAGCCTTAGCATCACCTGGGGTGTTTGTAACACCCCCGTGGCTGGGCGCACCCCAGACCCTCTGACTCAGAAAGTCAGGGAAGGGCCTGAGAATCTGCTTTTCTAACAAGTTCTCTGATGATGCTCCACCTTCTGAGAACCATTGTTTTAGAGAAAATGAAGCAGAAACAAAACAAAACAAAACACCCATCAAACAAACAAACAACCCAAGAAATACCCACCAATCAGTGAACCAACAACAAAAACCCTAAATTTGGTGGAGACTCTTCCTGTGGCTAAAAGGGTACATTGACTCAGGTACTCAACCTCCCTAAAATTGGAGTGGATTTGGAACCAGAGATCTTCTGCAAGAGGTACGTGGTCCACTCACTGAGCTACCTAACCCTTCCAAAAGAGGCATTTGTACTGTTTCCAAGGAGCCGCCCAAGCAGTGCTGGTTGCAAAACAAATAGTAAGAGCAGAACTGTACTGGTGTCTCACAAAAGCTGTGATTCTGTATTTTTTATTTTTTCCTGGAAACAGTTTTTTGGGGGATGTGATTCTATAATTGTCATAAAACTGGCTTTGTATCTTGTTAGTTTCTCAATATTTGAACACTTAATGAGTCACAAAGAATGAGAGAAAGAGGAGAGATGAAGCTGAGTTTGAAAGGCCTGGTGGAACGTCCCAGGCTGAGATATCCCAATGCAAAATTCACCTTTAGTCTCCTCCCTCCCGCCTGATTATGCTTGGTCTGCCTCTCTCGGTTTTGGCTTCTTAGCACCCATTGCCCCTGTCTGACAGTCCCTGAATTTGAGGGAGTGACCTCAGCCACTCTCCGCGAGCCCTCGTGAAGGGGAGGGTAACTTGAGGGACTGCTGTCCTGCTATTAATGGTGAAGGGGTCCCCAGGGGCAGCTCCTCTCTGTCACAGTTGCTATACATCCAGGTGGAGTATGACCAAAACCCTGCCAGCAGCACCGTTTCTTCTGAATCCTGATTCTGAAAATGATGCAAGTGGAGAAGAAAGAGGTGAAACTTGCTTGTTCCAGCAGCTGGGCCTTCACCAGACTCTTCCAACAGTTTCCTAATCTCTGGCTGGATCCTGGAACTGAGAAAAGGCTCCCTCAAAGCTTTGATTCAGTTTGCCCACAGCAAACCTAGATTCTGGCATTTTAAAAACCTCTCTAGGTGTTTGAATGCAAGGCCACTCCACTGGTGCTGCTGCCAGCTCTTCTGAACCTGCCTTGATTCCAGTGTTCCATCCTTTTCTTCAAGGTTTTCAGCTTCATCGTCCCAACAAACGTTCTTCTGCTTAAATTATCCATAATTTTGTTACTTACATGGAGTAGGTTCCCCAAGTATGCAGTCTCTCCTTAAAGTGCATAAAGTCACAGATTTTAGTTCCAGTAGACATGTGGATGCTTTTGAGCTTGGCTTTAGGGACACACACACACACACACACACACACACACACACATGCACGCACACACGCATGCACAAACACACACACTGTGGAAATGTAGCCTCTGGTCTCTGTTTTTACCCAACTGCACACTGGCTAACAACTCACTTCTTGTATATCATGGTTCTGCAAACTTGAGACAATACGCAGGTCAAGTGCAGTCATTTTTGGAGCCCTACTGGAGACTGGAGGCTCTCCCACCTGCAGGCCATCCCTGGGCCAGAAGTGGGTCTCTCCAGCCACAGCAGACTATATCGCATGTGACACGATGGGCATCTCTGGAATCCACCTTTCAAGTTTTCGGCAAACCATTTTCTCACTGTCCTTCACGAAGTTGACATTTTCAGCAGCACGATAGGAAGGATGTCATGTCGGCTGCTCTTCAAGTTCTTGTCACGGTGGTTAGCACCGTTCTGTCATCTCCGCTCTCCTCACAGTCTCCCATCTTGAGCCATGTCACAAATAATAATACATCGAGACTTGCATTTTTCTTTCTTTCCATGCTTTTCTTTGTCAAATGGAAATTAACCAGCCCTTTGAGTTACTGGTTATGTAAATAGTTCTCCCTTTCCCCAAATGCTTCTCAGCTAGAGTGTATTAATTAATGTTTATTATAGGCTTACATTCAACAATTAAGTACTAGGCTTTTCAGCAGAACATTTTATTTTGATATTTGAAATTGAGCATGAACAACATAATCAAAGATCTTCGGCTGCACTGAGCGGCCCCGGGTTTTGTAAAATGAGTGGACCTCTCTGGGGTCATTAAATTGTTGCCACACACCCAGGTGACCACAGAGCCATAG